GTAGAATTCCCATCCTTTGGATTAAAATCAAGCAAGAAAAAAAATACTAAACCTCTTAAGAATACCAAGCTTCATATGCATTAAATCTTCTAAAAAATTGGACAGAGTAACAGCCGTATACAGAAGAATTCCCAATCACAGACAAAGCATATTATTAGAATAACCTGCACACAAAGAAAATCAACCCAATATCTTGGGGTAAACCCAAGAACTCCAGACAAAATAAGAACAGAGTCGCAAGGTCTCAAGGGTAATCAAGACTTCTAATCCTAAGTCCAAGAGGTCCACGACTCCATGATGCCAAGAATAGTAACCAAATAATCCGAGTAACATTAAGGCTTTTATTTGTTCAAGTTGATTATTAAGTGTCTTCAAAAAAAAGAAAATGAAAGCTCAAGCGAGAAAAATAAAAATGACATAAAGATAAGTGCTCAAGTGTGCAAAGATGGAAAATGGCATGAAATGTAAATGTTAAGGTAAATGGTGCATAAAAGTAAAGGCATAAAATAAAAGCATAAAGTAAAAGTCAATTGTTACTGAATTAGAAGTTAGAGGTTAGTTGAATGACCATCTTGAAACTTGCATTTGAAAACTAATTAGAAGATTGATAAAATCAAAGCTTCTCAACAACAAGTTTCATTTATTTTTTTTCAAGTATATCATTCATTTCAAATTCTCGAGGCGGAAAAATATGATCAGTGATGTTTAAATGATCCACTTAGACTAAAGTTTATGAGGATTCATTAGAGGATTGATAATATCAAAGCATCCTAACAATGAAATCCAAGGTTATTGGACCAAATATTTCAAATTAAACATACTTGGGCTTGCAACCATAGGTTTGGGCCATGAATGATCATTTCTCTAATCGGAACAAAATTTAGCGTTATGTTAAGCAATCGTAAGTGGACTTATGTAGAAGTCGCACCTATTTTGAGGTCGGTCAATAGAAATTTATGTACCATATGTTTAGAGAAATGATATATAGATTATTATCCAATAACATGTAGCACAATTAAAGAAAGAGATAAGATGAAGAAGGAGGGGATGTATTAGATGAAATTAGGGTTTCAAATATCACCTACATCATTCATCCATTTCAGTGAATTTGGTTTTTCAATTTATTAACTCCCAAGATCCAATGACATTGAGGAATTTTCCTCAAAATAACTCTCAAGTCAGTATCATATTCCATATCAAAATTTAAACAAAAACTATGCACAAAAATTCTCAAACACAAACTTTAAACAAAGGCAAAACCCTAAGTATACTTCTAATTCAAAAATAGGTTAAAAATAGGAAAAATGACTTGAAAAAATATTTCTATTTAATTCTAATCCCCTAAAGTCTTCTAAAAGTCATAGGAATAGTCAAAAGTTCCTGAAAAGAAGAGGAAATATCTTTTTGAAACTCAAACATCAAAACTAGCTAGTCAAAGGCTAAAACTAGGCATGCTTTACAAAATATTTTGAATAAAATGGAAGATCAAACTTAAAAAAATAAAAATAAAATTTAAATGATCTTGAATCATCTAGGAACTTTGAACATATTTTCTTTAATTTTTAGAAAGGAAGGAAATTAGGTAATTAATTGTTTCTTTATGCTTAAGTAAGAAAATACCTCAAAAACATCAATTAACTTCTAAAACCTTGAAAAATAAGCAAACTGACATGTAAACCCAATTAAAAATCATAAAAAATATATTTCAACACCTAAGAGTCAGTGAATATATTTTTCTTGAATTTTATCTCAAAAGGAAGAATTAAACAAAAATTATTTACACAATATATAAAAAAAACAAAGAAAAAAAGATGTAACCAATCCATTAATTTAATTGGCATCCCACGAATTTTGTAAAATTGGAAAAATAATATTTTCAATAAGAAGACTCGTATGGAAACTCAAAAACATTTTTATGGATTTTTTGATTTAGTATAAATAGGAAATTAAAATTCTAACACCTAAAGAATGATTAAAACCCTAATTAAACTACTTGAATTAATTAATTATGCAAAAATGATAAAAAAAACAATGAAATAAAGTTCATAATCATAAAATAGACTAAAAATAAAGTCTAAAATATTTTTTTCAAAATTTTTTAATCAAAGAAAATATTAAAACAAAATATAGGAAAAACAAATAAAACTGAATGAAATTCACATGATAAAAGATCTACTACATATGTTCTTTCAGAAAAGCGTTGTAAAAGTTTTAATGCAAGCACAAATCAAAACGTGAAACCTCTTCATCCCTACCAAACATCAATCCAAACTTGTTTTTTTCTAGTTTTGATATGCGATTTTCAGATTATGATATCTCACTTGTTTCTCCATAAAAATCCAAAATGTAAACATCAAACTTCAAGATTAAAACGTGTAGAACACAATAGGATCAAAAAATTTATGAAATGATGCATGACTCATAGAGAAATTAGGGCGTGAAGGTTGTTGCATGAACATGATTTGAGTTAAGAAATTCAACAAACAGTTTTCATGTTCAAATATCTCACTCAATTCTCAACCATTTTACTTGATCCAAACATCAAAATTCATCACAAAAATGCAAGGAATATGAAGATGCTTCTGGATTTCTTAAATGATGTAAGATTAAGAAGAAATGTGAGCACGAAATCACTGCTACAAATAGAATTTCAAGGAATTTGCAGAGCACCAATTTATCATCAAAACAGACATATATATACCTTAGATCTAAGATGTGACCAGCTAAACCAATATGAACAAGCTTTATGATGAAGATGCAAGCTGAAATCATGGATTGAAGTTCAAAGGAATTTACCTAAAGTGTGAAAAAGAAATTCACAATGCCTCTGAACAGTAGCACGAAATCCATAGATTTTTCTCCTTCAAGCTTCATGATGATGAATTGATGAAGAATTTACAGCTGGAAGAGAGAGAATTGAGAGTGCTCGAAAAAATTGAGCAATGAGAATTCTGATTTTCTTGTGGTGAAGGAGCGTGTGTAATAATGAGAGGGATGGATTTCTTATCTTTTGAATAGAGAGTGAGGTTGTCTTTATATAGAGTGAGGAATAGAGAGTGAGGGTAGAAGTGGAAAAAGAATCAGAAATCAAAAATAGGGTGGTGTGATGTGTGTCTTGCATTTTGAGGCCTGACTTATGCATTTATGCTGTCATTTTTGAGTGAGCAAAGAGAGCATAATTGAGTGAAATAAGCATGTATGATGAGCTGGAAACTTGATGTCGTTTAAAGCAAGCATCATGCAATTCTATGCAAACAGATTTCCCTCATTTGAACTTGATGAAATCGTGGCCATTTGAGATGAGATTTGGCTTGTTAGAAATAGGGCCATTGAGTGAGCAAGTTTCATGTTTACTACAAGTTGAAATGAGTCCTTGAAGTTATTTAAAAATGGACACAAAGTCAACCTTAAGATGTTGGCCAATGCACTAGTGTAGTGACCATGCAAAATATTGAAATTTTAATTGTTTTGTGACCATGACTTCAACTCATCATATCTCTCTCTATAGTGCAAGAAATGAAATGAAATTTGAATCAAAATTGAAGAGGGCATAACATACTCTAACTTTCATGTTCAAAATTTTCAAAACAAAGTTTAAATCAATGAGATAAATGACTATGAATGTATGCACATCACATGTTTGATGAAATGCTTGCTAGGTATGCGCGCACGACATGCCTTGTTGTTGGGCATAATTCAACTTTATGTCACCTACTTCTCATGATCATATCTTGAAATGTAGGAACTATTTTGAGAAAAATCCTGAAGCAAAGTTGTTCATAACACATAGAGCTTAATCTTTGATGTTGGAAATTTTTTCAAAATAATCAATATTTCAAAGAGAAAAATAATGACGAACGTGTGCTCATGAACTGTTTGAAGAAATGCTTGGCCTTGCATGCGCGTGACTGGGCAACATGACATCTCAAGGCTCCAAGTCCTAAGCATTGTATCTCTCTCTACACTTGACCATTTGAGATGATTCTCGAATCAAAAATGAAGAAAAAGCTCCAAAATCCAACTTTGATGTTGACAACTTTTTGATTTGAGCTCAAATGGACATTCAAAATTAACCATGAAGAAATCAGGTTTTGTGCACATATTCAAAAATTTCATTAGGTGTCCAGAATTTTCTAAGCTCAATAACTTCTTCTCCTTTTATTTTTTGGATTTGAGCCCTCAAAGACAAAGTTGAAGAACTTTGTATCCTTTTTCCAAACATGTAAAGTTTGAATTTTTTCAATAATAAATGAAGAATTTATGATCATCCAAAGTTTAATACTAGGAACACTTAGAAAATTTCAAAAGTTCAAATAACTTCTTTGACAAGTTATCTCTAATTCAACACTTCCTCTTGATTTTATGCCACCATTGACCATGAAATGCTAAAATAGGGACATTGAATTGATGGTTGACAAAAAGTCCACTTGATCAACATTTGACTTTGGTTGACTTTTGACAAAATGACCATTTTACCCCTTTTTTATCAATTGAACCTTTTCAAATCAAAATTGATGATCAAACCTTCAATCATAGATGCTCATGAACATGTAGATAAGCATGGAATCCAGTCTTTCCCAAAATGTCAGAGATTTCCTGATTAAACTCAACCTTAATTTTGACCCTCCGTGCTAGGAGATGGTGAGATGAATGCAATTGTGCCATTACCTGCAATATGATTATTCAAAGAGACATATACACATATTTTGCTATTAGTTAAAAGAACATATATACAAGATACACAATTCAAGGTGCTTGGTGTTCTCTCAAGAGCAAACTTAAATATGGGATAAAGTAGAAAGAGAGAACCAACCCTAATGTATGATCTTGGTGTATTGATGAAAGTGAGATGATGAGAAATCTTAGGGGGGAAATTCGGGGTATAACAGGTAGTAAAAGCTCGGGAAGTTTACAAGGATTGTTATGTTACTTATAATGGTTGTAATTTCTTGATTGATCTCATTTGTTTACTGCTCAAGAAGATCGATGTGATATTGGGAATGGACTGGTTATCCACTAACTCTGTATACATCGATTGTAAAGAAAAGGCTATCTTCATCCCTGCTGAGGAGACTACTCCAATTGATGATATTGGTAACTTAATCGAAGGTACGATTAACATGGTCAATTACCTATTTGCACATGAGAAATCCTTTCTTTTGGTTCTCACTATAGATTCAGAAGATAGGAAGAGTGTGTCAGAGATTCCTGTTGTGTGCGAATTTCCTGATGTGTTTCCTGAGGATGTCACTTCTCTCCCACCAGAAAGGGAAGTTGAATTATCCATTTACCTTATTCTAGGAACCGTTCCAGATTCTATTCCCCTTATCGGTTGTCTCTTGCAGGGTTAAGAGAATTGAAGAGCCAATTAGAAGAATTGTTTGTGAAACACTTTGTTGGGTCTAGTGTTTCTCTATCGGGAGCTCATGTTTTGTTGGTTAAGAAGAAGGATGGTAGTATGCGCTTATGCATCGACTATCACCAGTTGAATAAGGTAACCATAAAGAACAAGTACCCTCTACCATGAATTAATGACCTCCTAGATCAGTTGAAAGGAGCTTGCTTGTTCTCGAAGGTTGATCTCAGGTCAAGATACCATCAAATTTGAGTAAAGATCTTGGATGTGCCAAAGTCCTCTTTCAGGACACGGTATGGTCATTATGAATTTTTTGTTATGCCGTTTGGAGTAACCAATGCTCCTGTCGTCTTTATGGATTACATGAACTGAGTGTTCCAGTCATATCTGGATCAGTTTGTGGTAGTATTTATAGATGACATCTTAATTTACTCCGAACTATTGAGGAGCACATGGAACACTTAAGAATAGTATTAGTTATCTTTCAAGAGAAATATTTGTTCGCGAAGTTTAGTAAGTGTGAGTTCTGGATGTCTGAAGTTAAATTCCTTGGACATGTTATATCGAGAGGAGGTGTAGTTATGGATACATCAAAAGTGGAAGCAGTGGTGAATTAGGAACGACCCAAGAATGCAACTGAAGTTCAAAGTTTCTTGGGGTTGGAAAGTTATTATCGGGGATTCATTATGGGATTTTCCAAGTTAGCATTACCCTTGATGAAACTTACAAGAAAGGAAGTTTCCTTCAACTGGAATTTCAAATGCATAAGAAGCTTCCAGAAGCTGAAGGAGAAGTTGACTACAACTCTAGTACTGGTGATTCTAGATCCAGATCGGTCGTATCAAGTTTTCTGCAATGTTTCTAAGAAAGGGTTAGGTGGAGTTCTAACGCAAATAGGCAGGTGGTAGGTTATGCATCTCGACATCTGAGACCCCGGGAGGAGAATTACCCTACTCATGATATTGAACTCGCTGCTATTGTATTTGCACTTAAGGTGTGGTGACATTTCTTGTATGAAGTTCACTTCTAGATGTTCAGTGATCATAAGAGCCTGAAATATCTCTTCGACCAGAAAGAACTTAATATGCATTAGAGGATATGGATGGAATACCTCAAGGATTATGACTTTGATCTGAAGTATTATCCCAAAAAAGCTAACAAAGTGGCAGATGCCTTGAGTAGAAAAGAGATTCACATTGCTGAACTCATGATGTTGGAGTTTAATCTTTTGGAGTGATTTAGGAATCTTGATCTGCAGTTCGAGTGGGCACCAACAGGTTTATTAATCGGTAACATGTGTATTGAGAATGAATTGCGCGAAAGAATCCGACAGGTGCAGTGGTCTGATGCAGAATTGCAAGCTAAAGAAGGTCTCTCAGATTTCATTAGGGCATCCAACGGAGTTCTTATTTTTAAGAAAAGGTTATGTGTACCTAATGATGTTAAATTGTGAAGATTGATTTTGGATAAAGCCTACAAAATCAAATTCGCTATTCATCTTGGATCATCAAAGATGTACCAGGACATGAAGACGAATTTCTGGTGGCCCGGTATGAAGAGAGACATTGCGGGTTATGTGGAGTAGTGTGTGGTTTTTCAACAAGTAAAGATAGAGCATTATAGACCAAGCGGTATGTTGCAACCATTAGGTATCCCTATATAGAAGTGGGATAGCATATCCATGGACTTCATCATGGGACTTCCCTGTTCATTGGGTGGACATGATTCTATATTGGTAATTATGGATAGGTTAACCAATTTAGTGCATTTCTTGCCCGTTAAAATGACTTATAAGATTGTTAATCTCGCGAGACTTTTCGTGGTGGAGTTTGTAAGATTACATGGTGTACCCTCCAGTATTGTGTCAGATAGAGACCCGAAGTTTACTTCGAGGTTTTGGAAAGCTTTTCATAATGAGATGGGGATGCATTTGAACTTGAGTACTTCTAATCACCCTTAAACAGATGGTAAAACAGAAAGGACTATCCAAACCATTGAGGGCATATTAATGGCGTGTATTCTATAAGGTGGTGGCAATTGGAAGGATCAATTACCTTTGGTAGAATTTGCATATAACAATAGTTACCACATGGGTATCGGGATGGAATCATACAAATATTTGTATGGAAGGAAGTTTCAATCACCCTTGTGTTGGTCAGAGGTTGGCGAAAAAGGAATTTTTGGACCGTAGATGATTCAAGAGATGACGGAAAAGATCAAGATGATCCAAGAAAAGTTGAAGAAAACACAAGATCGTCAGAAGAGTTATACGGATAAAAGGAGAAGACCCTTGGAGTTTTAAGAAAGGGATCATGTGTTTTGGAAAGTTACCCCAAGGCTACAGTTGAAAGGATCGTTTAAAATATGCAAACTCAACCCGAGATATGTAGGACCTTACCAAATCATGAAATAAGTGGGTGAAGTTGCATACCAATTGGCGTTGCCTCCTTCACTATCCAGGTTGCATGACATATTCCTCGTATCTCAACTTCGGAAGTTTGTACCCGATTCATTTCATCATATCCTTCTGAATACGATCGAAGTGGAACCAGATCTTTCTTTCCAATCGTAACCCAACTGTATCTTGGAGCATGCCAGTAGATCCTTGATAAATAAGGAGATACTCCTTGTGAAGGTTTTGTGGGAATAGTCACGTACCTAGTATTAATCACAGTACCTAGTGTTATTAAGAGAGAATAGACTAAATAAGTTACATGGTGTTGTACCCCAAAATTTTCCCTCTCATTTCATCAACATTTTTCATCACAAGACTCTTGGAACTCAAGATCAAGCTAGGGTTTGCTCTGCTCAAGACACCTCATTGCACTGTTGACCTAAATTAGGGTTTGAGTTTGCACAGTGATGTTTTGACCTACAATGCCCAAATTGAATTTCATACTTCATTTTGGACTCATAAGTTGGTCCATACCAAGTTTCAAGCCTTGATTCAAAATTTTGCCCAGTTAATTGGACAGTTGACCTAGAAATCAGCTGTATTGGGGAAAAGTCAACTGTGGCCAATTGATAGTCAAACCTCATGAAATTTGATCCACATAAACATTATGAACTCATATGCACCATTTGATCAAGTTTGGATCACAATTCCACAAGAAATTTGATCAGATCACCAAAAGGGCAAAATGGTCATTTTTAGGATTTTGATTGTACAAAGGCAATTTTTGACTGTTTGACCTAGCCAATGGAAAATCAAGCTCAACCATGGACTCAAGGACTCAATGACATTGTCTTGACCCATTCAACAAGTTCAAAAGATCTCAAATGCATAGGATTGACAGATGAATTTTTCAGTCAACTGATCAAAATTTGACTGTATACTGAAAAGTCAAACTTTGACTTTTTGGTCAAAATCAAGTGCCAAGGGTCATTTTTCATCAAGACATGTCAAATTATGAAACTTGTTCATCAAGAAATCCAAAAATGCAAATTAGGGTTTAAAATGGAAAATTTTCATAACTTAGAAAATTTCTAAGTTATAAAATTTTCTTATTTTTTCCTAACTTTGTCCCATTGTTTCACCAAGATGCAAATGGATTAAAACAAAACTTACAACATGAAAGTTGTAGTCCATCACAAAGTCTACAACTTTGATTAACAAAGTTTTCTCAAAAGAAGCTTGGATCTCAAGTTATGATTTTTGGAACAAGGGTACCTAAAACTTTTAACTTAGAGAAATTTTGCCCTAGTTTAGGCAGGGTTTTGACCCATCTTCTTGGCCATTTTTCACATAGTTCCACTTGGAATTTCAAGTTGGATTTCAAAGATGGATTGTATTAAATGTTGCAAGCTTTCCAAATTGTCTAAGAACTCCTCAAACACCTTTGTGGTTAGGGAGAATCGAATGCTTGAAGTTGGCAAAAACTCACTTTGCAACCATGGCCAATACATGTTCATACCAAGTTGCAAATCTGATCTAGCTAGCTTGGTTCACAATTACAGGCCTCTAAACCAGTTTTTACTCCATAATTTAATGCAAATCCATTGAGCCAAGGCATTGTCTTGGTCATTAGGGTATTGTACACTAGATTAAGCCTTAAATGGAAAAAGTAACATTGCCATTTTTGCTTGAACTTTGCTTTATGTCAAAACAACATCCTAGAGCATTGAACCAGATCTTATGCTGCAAACAAAATCCACTAATTAGAGGGGCCAAGAGGGTTGTGTGCAGGGTGATAGGATGACATGTACAAGCCTATAACCTCACTTCCACTCTTTTTCTTTAAGAAGAAGAAAAATTACAAAACACAAGGCATCTCACACATCTGATAAAACCACCTAAAACAAAGTTGTAAAGCAAGTTTCATACACCCTAGCAAGCCAGAAGAACGAGCCCTTGACCTCTCAAAACTCCTTGTGCACAAAATCACCATTTTTCTGCAAAACAGGGCAAGCCCTGCAGAACCACCTCCATCTCCACTTTCCCTCGTGCGTTTTGCCTCAAACTTGTTCCAATACCTTCCACTCAACTCACCTGAACTATTCCAGACCTCCATTGCCAGCTGTAACACCATTAACACACATTTCCATTTTTGTTTGAAAGCTTTGCAGGTTGAGTTCTGTAGCACGATTCAGGCTACTTCAAAACAAACTAAGCATTGGGAAAGCTTCATTGGACATCAGGAAAGCTCAAAAGAACCTCAAGCATCCTTAGAAGTTGCTGCATTGTCCAGCGCGAAGTCAACTGAAACAGGTATTTCATGAACTTCTATCTCTCTATTTAGGAATAGTTAGACTTAGGTTTGTGAATGAAAGATATTGTATTCATAGCCCTGAAACCATACATGTGCTTAGTTTTCATTTATATTAATCGTGCTAGGAGAATTTTGTTCATGAACTTTCTAAAAAAACTAGGTTAAGAATTAGGGCCAGAGAAATTCTCTCTGGTCTTTGAGAGTTAGCTTAAGTTTTTTATATGGTTAGATTCGTTGTTTGATGCTCTACAAGTTTTATGTTTTGAGTTTTGTCAAAAAAGCACAGAATCAGGAGATAGCATGTTGTATGGAAAACGCGCGTTTTTGTTTGAACTGAGGAAGAAGACGAAGTTGCTTGGGCTGGGCCTGGTTGTTTTTGCTTCTCACACATGCATTTTCAGTTCACCCCCCTGGCCCATTGCTTTGTATTTTCATTATTTTTGTATTTTTATTTTTTCTCTGACCTTGATATTTTATTTTCAAATATAAAAAATACTTAAAAAATATTTTCATAAATTTTTATATTTATTTGATATTTATTTTAATTAATTCTAGTATTAATACATTAAATACTTTATATTTACTTTTGTTTAAATGTA